AGTATAGTGTGTATAAGCGAGTAGATTTCAATTTCTGTACAGTCTAATCTCTAATTGTCATACCACTCGAATTTCATAAATTCTTTTAATCCAAAAAGCAAATTATGCTCCCTCCGAACTGGTTGTCTTTAAAATACAAATCTTTTGTAATCCCAGGCTAACTGTTATCTGTAATCAGAAGCACATTTAAAACTGGAATATAATTGATTTCATTCATATGTGTTTCATACACACATAATCCTTTCTGGATTACAATCCGCCATCAAAATGATACATTTAATTATTCTGGCTGCTGTGAGAAAAGGCTATAAACGATCAGCCACCTGCAGGATCCTCACATGCGATAGCCTAGTAGTCGGGACAACTTCTTTATGTTTACAGACGTGACGTAATGACGCAGCAGCATGCTCGAATTTCCCGCGAAACCCTACCCGTGCCACTTAAATGAGAAAACATTATTATAAGCTAACCGTTGTGAAACAGGCTAAAGTAAGGCGATGGTTTTGAACGCTGGCTGGGTATGTACTTGCTCAAATGTTTATTTCGGGTAAATAGGTTACGGACTGCAGCTTTAACTTTATATAAATAACTATTTGTTATTTAAAGAGGTCTCTCGTGCGACATTAGCGTCATACTGACTCTGTTGACATCTACAGTGAGACGCCAGAACTGCAACACAGAGAACCGACCGGAAACAAAGAACTTGAAACAAACGGAAGCCGAGCTGGACAAATACGCTTTGAGAAATGGCGGCCGCTGAAGACGCTAACAGTATACAAAACCCCAGTGGTTCAGAGGCTCCGAAACTGTCGGATTTACTGGACCGGGGCTGGAAGCTGTTTGAAGAGGTGGACACTACAAACGAGCCGAGCAGCTCCAATGCGGTGCAGGTGAAAGTGAAGCGCGCTATCATGCAGCTGGAGGAGGCGACACGGATGATCAATCAGCTGGACCTGTTCAGGTTAGAGGAGCACACACACACACACACACACACGCTAAAACGCCGAGTGTACCCGAGGCGACATATTAAACCGCTCCTGTTATTATCAATGTAGCTGTCAAAGGACAGCGAGCGAGCGAGCGACGCGCTGATAACGAGAACTTTATATTTTGTCTAGTCATTAGTTGCCAATTAAAACAGTAAATGTAAACAGTAAACACTTTCTACAAAAGTGTATGTATTGTTACTCCGTTCTTACAGTTATATAGAGCAGGGGTGTCCAAACTCGGTCCTGGAGGGCCGGTGTCCTGAAGAGTTTAGCTCCAACCCCAATTAAACACACCTGAACCAGCTAATCAAGCTCTTACTAGGCATACTAGAAACCTAAAGGCAGGTGTGTTGAGGCAAGTTGGAGCTAAACTCTGCAGGACACCTGCCCTCCAGGACCGAGTTTGGGCACCCCTGATATAGAGTATGACTCAGCTGTGTACACTGCTTTACACTGAATTGTTGATGTCACATCTTCACTAATTTCCTTATTTGGCTACACAGATAGTGTATTGCACTCATGAATATTACAGGACTACATATTTTTTCTTCCAGAATCTATAATGTCTTTTGTGTGTATTTTGCCTTGTGCTATTAAAATAATAAAATGACAATTAAACTAACATTAAAATTATACATACCGTTCAACAATATATTTGAACATGAGAAACACATTTTGCAAAAAAAACAAAAAAAAAATCCAATGAGTCACATGATCATTACAAAACAACCGCTAAATAAAACTCACAGGAGTATTTATTAATTTCTTTGTTTTTTCTGTAGTCGTAATGAGGCATTGGAGGAAATCTCCACAGCTGACCTGAAGTGCCTGTTGTTGCCGGCTCTTCTGGGAGCGCTCTCCATGAAACAGGTGAACCCCAGCAAGCGTCTGGAGCACGTGCAGGCAGCCCGCGTCTACTTCATGGACTTCCTCCAGAGGTGCAAGGACTATGATGTGTGTAGTTTTCAGCTGCCCAGAGCCAGCGAGAACACAGCAGACACTCCTACTGAGGAGCAGACCAATCCATCAGTCCCGATGTCAGTGGCACAGCCAGACCTCATCGAAATGGCAACACAAAGACAAGCCAAAATAGAGTGGTGGGTTGGCACTGAATATTTGTTACCATGCAATTATTTTATATATACACTGGGGTAAGATATTTAAAGATGTTTTTAAATTAAGTGTCTTATGCTCACCAAGGCTGCATTTATTTTATAAAAAAAATACAGTAAAAAATGATGATTGTGAAACTGTTTTCTGTTTTAATAATATAGTTTCATATATAATATTTTTTATTGTAATATATGCTGATTTGGTGCTCCAGAAACATTTCTTAGTATTAATAATGTTGTGCTTCTTATATTTTGGTGGAAACTGATACATTTTTTTGTTCAGGGTTCTCTGATGAATAGAAAGTTCAAAAGAACAGCGTTTATTTGAAATGTTTTGTCACATTATAAATGTTATTTTTGATCTGTTTAAACTGTCCTTGCTGAATAAAAACATTATTTTAAAATCACATTTGAATGATAGTGTATATGTTAATATTTGTACAAGGTTGGTGTCTTTTCCATCAGTTGTGCTAATGTTTGTGTAACATTCATGTGTGGCATATTTACTCTGTAAATTGTTTCCAGGTTTAAGCAGCGTAAGGAGACAGAAGCCAAGCTGAGTGAGATCAGGGGGCTGGTTGAATCTGGCTCAGCCGATGAAGAGGTGGTGAGAGATTTTTACCTGCTGCATGTACGCAGGTGGGTCACACTAGCAATTGAGGAGATCGACTCTATCAACCAGGAGATGGAGATTCTGAAACGGATGGAGCTTTTCAAGCAGGTGTTTGATTGCCACATGAATCGCATCTGTGTTTTTTTTGTGTGAATGATGTGGTTGCATATCTACCGCTCAACCTACCTCTGATTTACTGCAGAAAATATATATTAATCAGTGTTGGGGAGTAACTAGTTACATGTAATGGAATTACGTAATTTAATTACAAAATTAATTTTGTTACACTTTATTTTATGGTGTCCTTGTTATAGTGTAATTATACATTTCAGTACTGAGTAATATTAATTAACTACATGTACTTACTATATGGTTAGGATTAGGGTTTGGTTTAGGGTTACTTACATGTAATTATGCATAACCATAAATGTAATTGTAATCAAGTTACTGAGAAAAAACGTGTAATTAAATTAGTTAATTATGAAAATGTTAACCCACACACACAAATTTAATTGATTTCGTTTATAAATTGCATTGACTGCTCTAGAATACGAGACACCAATGTTGCAGGAGTTTAGGACACATGCTTATTCGATAACTGTTTTATTTCCTATTTGGGTTTATATATATGCTTTTTTTTTTTTAGATGTTCTTTCCAAGGCATTGTTAGATGCCAGTGTTTCCTATCATAGCTATGCAAATATTTGATTTAAAAAACACTGTCGTAGCTATTTAATTATTTCTTATGATTTTAAATCTGTATTTAACTTCTGAATGATCTCAATGTACAAAGAGGTGCTAAAGTCTTATTTTGTGGCTGTGCTTTAAAATTAAATTATTATTATCTTAATTCAAGTGATGAAGGCTTTTAAAAGTCTGACAGTAATCAGTGTTGTGTACTACTGTAAGGTTAACCCTGCCTGGTTTAAATGTTTGAATGTGATTAACAGTTAAAAACATTAGAAATTTTGTCTTTGCTACAGTGTAATTATACATTTAAGTACTGAGTAATATTAATTAACTACATGTACTTACTATATAGTTATGGTTAGGATTAGGGTTTGGTTTAATGTTACTTGCATGTAATTATGCATCATTTATTGTTATTATAATAGTAAGTACATGTAACAAGGATACCCTAAAATAAACTGTTACCGAAATTTTGTTAAAGTAATAGAAATAGTCACACTACTTATTACATTTTAAATAGAGTAACTTGTAATCTGTACCGTTACATTTCCAAAATAACCTTCCCAACACTGATCATAATTTAAATATTTAAATTGATTGATAGCCTTATTAATAATTGTTTGTTTCTGTAGAGCGCCCCCCAGCCATCTCCACCTAAAAGACCACCCATGAAGCCTTTTATCCTGACTAAGGATGCTGTGCAGGCAAAGTACGTGTGCATTTGAGTGTGTGAAGTTCAGTGCTGCAGTATTAGTTTGTGTGATTTTTTTTTTTTTTTTTCTTGAATGTTTTGCAGAGTGTTTGGTGCAGGGTATCCCAGTCTTCCCACCATGACAGTGGATGATTGGTATGAGCAGCACCGGCGGCAAGGATGTTTACCTGACCAGGGCATACCACGCAGTGCAGGTGCTTACATACATATTGAGTGCTTTTGCAGAACATAGATTATATTTAGAATGTATTAACGGATGATTAAATGATTTTGTCCCGCAGTCTTACTTTCACTTAGCTCAGTTTTAGCTCAGATCGTCAAGTGGCTCTGTCTTTCCACCTCAGCAGATGGTGATGTAGAGGAAGATGAGAGAGCAGAAAGAGAGACGAAGGAAGAGAACGATGATGAAGAGGCACTGCAGAAGGCACGTGACTGGGACGACTGGAAGGACACACACCGGAGAGGATACGGCAACCGCAAAAACATGGGTTGATCTGATTTCACACACTCACATACACACGCATCCCTTCAGTTCCTTCCAATAAACCTCCCAATGCTGCCAATATGTGACATGGACACAACAGAGAGTGGCACTGTAGTGGTTAGTTAAGGTGGTTCCTTTTTTTTTCTAAACCGAGTTTGCGTATTTGACATTCTTTTATATGTCTCTATGTAAATCTTGGTGAGCTTAAATGAGACCTTAAACCCCTGAGCATCTTGGAGACGGCTGTTTGGGCGTCACCCTTTCCTACACGATTAAAAGTTTGCCTTTTCATGGATGTTGTTTTGAGTGCAGCATTTCTACAGAAGTGTTCCCTGTACTGTCAGCTTTTAGAGTCAAAATCAGTTGACTCAGAAGGACATTGTCACCCACATAATTACACCTAATGTGCTGTTTGATTTGAAGCCAGTTAAGACTGCATGTTCGTTAAGTATTAGCCGATATTGCTAGGCCTCGTCTGTTTCAGAAGAGATACTTCAGTGAAGACGGTTCTGAAAGAGCATTTAGAACTAATATCAGCACTTGCATGGATCTGACAATGTGGTTCAGAATTGCTGAAGAAACTGTGGGATGTTGAAACAAACTGTCTAGACTGCCGTTTTAATCTGAAATGTATTTATCTGCCAGCTTTGCTTTTCTTTTGGAAAACTCATTGTGAGGTCAACTTTCAGTTCTTCAGTAAACAAAGAGAAATCAACTATCAATCTGAGGTCTCTAGTAATAATGCTTGCTTTGTGATTTAATACAAAACATTTCAAATGTATTATCAGCATAACAATTTGAGAGACATTGAATTGAAAAAAGGAACATGAATTTAGGATTATTCGGTATGTCCTTGTTTTAATGACAGCAATCAACTTTACAAGTGCAAAAGCTGATGATCCAAAATGACAACCAAAAATCTGGTATTTTTTATATGCCATTCATAATTGAGTTGAGAATGCCTTTTTAAACTCCAAATAAATTTCGGAATTTCAAGTGAGGAAGCAAACAGGTTGCAGAATTGCATTTGTATTTAATGTAGGAAAGAATTAAATTTTTTACTATTTTAATTTTTCAATATAAATCACCCAGTATAAACATATTTACAGCTGATAATAGAGATCAGATTTAAAGTAGGAAATAAAAGTTGTTTTCCGTAAATTCCTCGTGTCATTCCCATTCAACATCCTGGCCAAGTCTTTATTGTATAACTTTTGTTTCTTCCATTGTTCAAAATTCTAAAAATATATTTTCTGTTTTAACAGAAAAAATCTTTTTTTTTTTTTTTAAATCTAGTATCGTAGACTTAATTGGGGTCGTGGAAATCCATTGCGGAGGTTTCCATGCTCAGAGGAACCATAGAGTGGTGCAGGAGAATAGGGCTGGTTGTGTTTCTGTTGGAACGATAAAGAGCAGAAGGATGATTTATTTAAGGAGAAGACCTATGCTCATCCACAGTAAGCTTATATCTTATCAGAGCACTGCTTCAGAATTGCTCATGTGCTGTATATTGTACCATAATATCCCCATGGAGGAAAACAAATAAACTCATAAACGTTTACTAATCAGTTTCTGAAACTGAAATGTTTAATCTTGAACCATACCAGGTCACCATATGTGTGTGAAGGGACACGTGGTCTGTAATCACTGTGGTGGTCTGCAGAAGGACTGTGCTCTTCATAGGGGTTTCGGCTGGGTGAATCTCTAGCATAAGGGTTGCTAACAATCTGACCCCGAACTGCGCCATTGCTACAATCACGCAAATGCACAACACAAAAACCACTTAATTAAACGCCAGGATGTGGAATACAAAACATGGAGACTAAGATTTTCACTTTATGATCTTAATATAAATATACATACAGACATATTTTGCCAGAGAATCTGCTGTGAAATCATATGAGCTCTTAATCATTTTAAGTAGAATTATCAATTACCTGTAGGGCTGCACAGGACCTCCCATGGGAGGGTCACGCATCCCGGTGTACATGCTGTGGAGACAATCAAAGTGACATTTAAGAGACAGATTCTTCATGATCCAACAAGCATTTTAATTCAGTCAAATCAGCTTTATTTCTAAAGCACTTTATACAATACGGATTGCTTCAAAGCAGCTCCACAGTATTAAACCGGAAATCAGCAGAATCATTAATGGAAACTCAATTACAGAAACAAGCCAAATTCTCTAATAGGATAATAGTGTCATAAAATGTATCAATTATGAAAAAATAAAGCAGTTCTACAGATGGCAGCATTGCTATTCAACTTGAGTCAGTTGATTCAGTTCAGTTCAAACCGACTCTTAACTCAGCCTCATGAGCAGTTTTACATGCTAATTAATCGTATGCTAAATATGCCAGATTATCTGATAGTTAGTGTTTTGTCAATGGAGAGCAATGAAGAATTTAGTTCACACTTAAAAACATGGTTTAATTTATCTACCAATGTCATACTGTACAGTCATGGCCAAAAGACATAAATGTGTTTTGCAAAGTTTGCTGCTTCAGTATTTGTAGATTATTTTTCTTGTTTCTACATGTTTCCACATGTTTCTATGGTATACTGAAAAACAATGATAAGCATATCATAAGTTTTAAAGGCTTTTATTGGCAAAAAATATATAATGAGTCAATATTTACAGTGTTGACCCTTGTTCTTCATAACCTCTGCAATTCACTCTGGCATGCTGGATATATGCTTCTGGGCCAAATCCTGACTGATGGCGATCCATTCTTGCCTTATTAGTTCTCGGAGTCGATCACAATTTGTGGGCTTCTGCTTGTCAACTCGCCTTTTGAGGAATGTACTCTTTTCTTGAATATACTCGCCTTTTGAGGACTGACCTGGACACTCTGGGACGTCCTGTAGACTTCTTCACTGCAGTCGAACCTCTCTCCTTGAAGTTCTTGATGATCTGGTACATGATTCTTTCAGGTGCAATTTTCTTTGTAGCAATTTTGATGCAAAGCAATGATGGCTGCATGTGTTTCTTTGGAGGTAACCATTGCTAACAAGAACACAATGATTGGAAGCGCTTCTTCCCTCCTTTTATAGCAATCAGTCTGCTCTTACAATCTAATTAGTATATTAACCTGACTAGTACTCATTCACACTTTCACATGTGCTGCTGATATGATTACTCAATTAATGTTAGCTGGTCATTTTGTGTCAGGATCGAAAAACAGGGAAATTAGGTTTTTTGTGAAAAGTTCATTTTTTGGACAATTAAGCTTTTAGCAGTTATTTCAAATGCATCTGATCACTCTACACAATAATCTAGAAACAATGTGAATGAACACCACAACAGCTTAAGCAGCAAACTTTGCAAAACACAAAATTTATGTCACTGCCAAAACTTTCGGCCATGACTGTACACCTACCTGTTTGGCTCACGAGGTCGTCCATCAGGCATGATGTCAACAGATGGGCGCATACCACTGGATAGACTATATTAAAATACATAATGCAGCAAATAAAGTATATAAACAAAATTACAGTCCAACCACTGCAGTGATCCGAAATATAAAGAGATCAGTGGTTCAAACACATTCAGGATTAATTTCACTATAATTATTAGCAGGCCTGTCATAGATATATTGATGTACACAGCCAGGTAACATTGTGACAGTGCTAGTTGTAGTGATATCTAAATATATGTAAGAGACAGCTAACCATGTTGATTCAATGGCTATTCAATAATTTAAGTAACATTGACTATGTACCTATAGGGCCGAGCAGGACCTCCCATTTGAGGATCACGCATCCCACTTGATATGCTGCAGAGACAAAGCAATTAAAAATAAAAAGGACTAAACAAAAACAACAACAGACAAAATTATATTCACAAATTCATTAACTAAAAAAAGGGGGGAAAAAGATGATTCTATGCTAATCTAAATCGCACAAAAATACTACGAGGCTTTATATAGGAAACTATTAAGGCAGGACACCACAGGTGAATAGGGTAAAAATTTTAACTAAAACATCAGTTAATTAATAAGTGCAATTATTTTGTATTACACGTTTTCTGAAATGCAATGTTCAAAAATGCAAATTATGTATCATATAAAGTTTGGCATAATATTGCATAGATTCTCAAATATCTGAACATTTTGTTGATGTATTAGAAACAGCTCTTTTAAAGATATATATTGTAACTGAACTCTACAGATGCAAATAGATCAAGTGTAATTTGGATGTTTTCATGCCACTACTCTGAAAGAACTCTTAATTATTTTTATGCCTTAAAATAATACTAATTCTAATCAGATAAAAATCACATACGGGTGGTTGGGCATGGCTGTCATGGGAATATGACCTTGTTGTACAGGTCTCATGTTAGGGGGAGGCTGACCCTTTGAAAGCAAGACAAAAGGCAGAAAAAAATGAGAGATCACAAGACCATGTGCATTTTAATACTTGGCAGATCACTCAAGAAGGTAATATATCGATACACCTGTCAGATCCGTCAGACTTAAAAAATGTCTTATGCTGTGTTTTTTATGACTTCCAAAGGCATTTCCAGATAGATCCATGTTTCTGATTAAGATTATGGGAACCCTGTGCTGTTGCTATCAATCATCAACACACATCGAGTAGACTCACATTCATATCAGAAGCAAAAGCAACACCAGGGAACAAGTCCTGCTCTTTAGAGGCTGTCTTGGATGTCGTCATTCCTTCACTGAACACAAACATGCACAGAGACAGAATGAATTACTTGTTAAACATAACATTTAATGACTTAATGAGCATCATGGGCTTTAAGTCATATTTTTTAATCACACTCATAAAGTCAGGCTATGCAAGACATAAAGATTCGCATGATGCTATTCAGAATCAATAAAGCTACATTTAATTACATTAAAAGGACTTCTAGAGTTGTGTTTGTCATTCTCACCCTGTGTGGCTCTTGTTTGATGGCAACATCATCACATAAACAACCACCCCAACCAACACAGCGAGTGTGAGACCAGGCAGAGATGCTACCAGGGCAAAGGTCACAACTGTCCATTTCTGAGAGCAGTCTTCATTAATGTAAAACTCACCTTTTTGACTGTTGCACCTACACAGAGAACAGTGGAAAGGAGTGAAGCTTGTGTTTAAACTACTGTGTAGAGTATCACAGAAAAGTCATCTGTAAGGAGCAGATTACCGACAGAATGGTTGTCCCTCGAAACAGATACATCTGCTAATTTTCTCATCACAGATCGCCCCACCATTCAGACATTGGTTAAAGTTAATAACATTATTACTGGCTGAAGAACACACATACAGAATCTACAGTAAGATCATTAGTTTGCATATAATGTATCAACTATTTTTAAAAGATACTACATAACCATTTCAACATATTTGAACCTTTTTTTGAACACACACTTACGGTCTGGTGTCTGTCCAGTTGCCTCATTAGTAACAAACAAGATGAAACACACGTACAGTAAGACCTTCATCTTTTAGTTCCCACACACACGAACTCCACCAGTGGCACTTGTATAAAAGGCTCTTTGCACCTGACGGGGGTATTTATGGTGTTACACACACCCAACACAGTGAGAGCTGGAGCATGCGCAAACACTCACCAACACACTGTGTATGTGAAACTCTTGCAGTTTTCAGCAGATATTTGCCAGTGTGGACATGTGATTCCCACCCCCATTAATTCACTTCAGTGGGCTTTTGGTGGATTGGATTAACATTAATGAAGCCATGAACTTATAAAAGTTATAAAACTCATAAAAGTTATAATTAAAATTATATTTTAAATAGTTTTAGATGGTGTGTATCATGTCACAATGCAGGACATTTATCAGTTTAATTTTTTAACGATCATTCTTTTTCTCTTTTTTTTCCTGATATTTAGGCTCACATGCTCACAAACATACTACCATTCAAAAGTGAATACTAATCAGCAAGAACTCAAAAGTCAATAAAAAAAAAGTAAAGACATTTATAATGTTACAAATGAGTTCTATTTTAAATAAATGCTGTTCTTTTTAACTTTTAATCAAATAATCCTGGAAAAAAAAATTACGGTTTCCACAAAAATGTTAAGCAGCACAACATTAAAATGAGTAAGAAATTATTCTTGAGCACCAAATCAGCATATTAGAATGAATGCATTTTAAAGTATATTCAAGTAAAAAAACATAATTTGAAATTGTATTATTTCATACATTAGTTTTACTGTATTTTTGATTTTATGCTCACCATAAGAGATTTCCCTAAAAAAGATAAAATCTTAACGAACCACAAACTTGAACAGTAGCGTAAATCAGGTGGTGCCACACTGCAGGACTGATGAAAATGAAACACCTACAATTCCTGCAGGTACTGAGACTTGCAACCTTTGTGTCACAAATCCAACTGTCTAACCATTAGGCCACAACTGCCCCACGATGCATTTCTGTATTGTATATTTCCATGATGATGACAGTCACATCAGGACAGTTTTCACAACTTACTTGAAACTGCTAAAAACTGCCAATGCCAACTGGCAATATGAGCTGCCAGGGTTTGAGTTCAAAGTGTTTTCAAATGAATTTTAGAAAAACGGATTATAGGAGCAAGATCAAGACTAGCAGGAGAGTTGATCTAGGTTTAGGAGGGACAAAAATCACAATTTGTTCCCTTCAGATGCATAAAGATTTATTTCTCACATCACAAAAGTTGTCTTAGTCCCTCAAACAGGATCAATAAGTCATATAAAAATAACAACATGTAAAACACAACCATAAGAGCAGGACGAAATATACGGTTATGTGCAACACCATGATCACCTGCAGGACACAGTTACACACACAACATATAACAGAAGAGGAATAAGCGTGTGTTAGTTGTCAGAATCCATGTCACTGTCTCCGCCAACGGATCTGAATTCTTCACTGTCCTCCTCATCATCACTGAGCTGTGCCTGTGTGAGAACACTAGGACCTCGTCTCCGTTCATCTTCCTCCTCCTCCTCTTCTTCCTCTTCACTTATCCCATACACCTCCTCTCCATCTCGTTCTCCTGTCCTGGGGCTAGACACAAGCCTATGCATCTGACTGTCTCCATCATCATAACTGCCGTAGCTGTAACACACAGGAAGTGTAAGTGAAAGAGTTTATACAGAGACTTTATAAGAAGACATGGCATTTAATTAAAATAGCCACACTGCCTTACTGGCAATGGTACAATGATTTTCATCCAAAAAAATCCAATATTGGATTCTTAAAATATTAAGAGAATATGCAGCTATCCCGCACACAGTTCTCAACATAAAAAAGTGTGTTCATGATAAACATTATAATATTCTATTTTAATTCTACTTTATATTTATCTTCTTTTTTTATAAAAAAAAACAACAACACTAGCTTTCTATTTTTTCTATTCTATCTACTTTGTCCTCATTTGTAAGTCGCTTTAGATAAAAGCGTCTGCTAAATGTCTAAATGTAAATGTAAACACAAGCTTCTGCTGCTTTTTTAGTGTAGTTGATAGGTTTTTTTATATTAGTTACATATTAGTTATCTACAGAGATGCTGTCGACAGTTTTGTAGTGTTATATTAACTTTGTACGGTATTAACAGGCTGAAAAAGTAAAGGTAGAAAGACTAAAATCAAACAGAGCATGTGAATCAGAAATCTGTGACCTACTTCATGCACACGACCATTCAAATGTTTGATGAAAGACTCTTATGCTCACCAAGGCTGCATTTATTTGATCAAAAACGCAGTAAAACAGTAATATTGTGAAATATTATTACATTTTCAAATAACAGTTCTCTATTTGAATATATTTTAAAATGTCATTTTGTCCAGACATGGCAAAGCTGAATTTTCAGCAGCCGTTACTCCAGTCTTCAGTGTCACATGATTCTTTAGAAAGGATCACATCTTACTGACTCCAAACTTTCGAGCAGTAGTAGTTTTAGCCTGCATTAGCCTGATTTAGAATTTGTGAGATTTTATTGTTGCTATGACATGCTTTAGAAACATAAATTAATCCTTTACCAATTGATGTAGATGAGAACAGTATGGAGCATGATTAGAATAGCTGACCGAGGGCATTACCAAGATGCCCCAAAGAATAACACAGGACTATTTATTAGGAAGTACTGTAAATCATGTAAATAATGTAAAATAAATGAATCACAGCACTTATCTAAGTACAAGACAAACATTATTAGACTCTAGAGTCCTGCAGTTCCTGAAGAACAGTAGCAAATCACTAACAGTGATACAAAACCACGACTTCATCTGGAATTACATCAGCGTTAATCGAACAACAATATGCTTTTTTAAAAAATATATTCTCACCTGACATTGCTGTCCTCCATGTGCATTACCCCATCAGGTCCCTCCCCCTCGTAAGACATCATACTCTCTTCCTGCTCTAGTCCAATCCGGGTGCTCTCCTGATGCCCCAGCTCAGCATCACTGTCACTGCCACTCTCTGACAGTTGGATAGCTTCAGTGGAGAGCAGATAGAGTCAATGTTACACATACAGCCAAAATATCCCACAAATACTCCTATACTCACGAGTACACACAGACTCACAGGAGAATGGATTATCGCCTTCCTCCTCACTAGCGTCGTCTTCTGCATCTGACATCAGCAGATCCTGGTAGAGCACACTGGCATGTGCTGGCCGGCTGGAGCTTTCATCGTCCTCCTCCTCCTCATCATCCCTATGCATACGCCTCTGTGGCCGCATTAGAAGATCATCTTCATCATCCTCATCTTCATCATCCAGATCACCCTCGTCAGCCTAGAAGTACATACAACACTCAAATCTATGACAATGAAACATTCAGCTAAACCACAGATACTGTGCTATTGCTTAATGCATATTTTCATTTTGTACACAATAATTAGTTCATTAAATCAATCAATAATGGGGGGGAATAGGGAACTGAGGTTTCCATGTTAAAGACCTCTGGATTAAGTTTTTTTTTGCCCAAGACTATTACCGGAGCAGGTGTTTTAGGTTTGCCATCATCATCTTCCTCATATCCTTCAATGTCCACATCAGACTCCTCCTCACCCATTCGGCCTCTGCCGTAACGGCCCTTTGGAAGGTGTACACAAAAAAGTAGTTAAGAAAACTACACAGAAGGAGAGGACCAATCAGAAAATGCATGCAGCAGAGGATGGACAGATGGAGGGAGGTAATTTATCATCTTTGGATATAATTTTTTTGCACATTAAAACCCTAAAGCTTTTTTCGAACAAAAGAACAGTTAATGGTTGAGATACGGAAACCACTACATACTGGTCCCTGAAAGAATAATTTCAGCTACATTCCTTGCAAATGTTCTATATTGGTTTGCTCTTAGCTGGTAAGAGATTCAATTTGAAAGAAATGACCGATTTTGAATTTAGCTCACTAAATACCAGTTCTAAAATGTATCCTAAACATCCTTAATAGCCGCTGGAGATGGGTTAGAAAGCAAATCAAGCAGCAACACACAGAAACCATCACAGTACAGGGGTGGGTGACCACAAGAATGGATGGTGGGGTGGAAGGACATATCTAAAGGGGTAAAGCAAGCCAGCCAATAAAATGAATGAAGAGATGAATGGACAGAGGAATAGATGAATGGACAGAGAAGGAGAGGAATACCTGCCCCCCTCTTTTCTCAGGGGTGGGAGGGATTAGCGTAGCCTCAGCTAACAGACTAGAATCTCCCTGCAAACTCACAGACACACTGTTCTCACACACATCAGGCTGAAAGAAAGAAAGAAAGAAAGAAAGAAAAGGATAGTAAACAAAAGGAAAATCATGAAAAATAAGAAGAAAAAGAAAAAGCCCCATTCACAGAAAGACAAACAGGTGTCATAAAGGGAGGAGGAAAAGACAGGAACAGTGAGGAAATGTGCATCAAACAGCTGTGCAGTACAGAAAGTTTGGCTTATGCAGGAGAGAGCGAGAGAGAAATACAAGCCTTCTGTTCTATTTCTGTCAGAATCTCTTATGCTGACATGCTTCATTTCACTGGCTACAAAATACACTTGCACACAGAGCGCTTGAGACACCTGAGATTACGCCCTCAGTGTAATCTGTGCATGTACCTGAGGTGTGTACGGTCCAGGGGTAAAGGGGTCTAAGCTCTCAAGGTCTGCAGCATCCAGAGCAGCTTCTTTAGCAGTAGAAATGTCTTTTTCCAGTTGAGTCAGGTGTTCATCATACTAACAGACACATACACATTAAACATTTCAAAAACAAGTCAAAGCACATGAAAACAGCAAAGAGCTCGCTCACTTGCACACAGGCATACCTCTGCTAGAGTCTGCTTACAGATGTTTACAATCTCCAGAGATGTTTTGGTGTAAGGACTATCAGGTCCTGAAAAAGTAAAAATGTATATAAAGGTGAAACCACAATTTTTGTTGAGATGAAACAGCATTTTCATAACTAAAAGATTCATGTTTCTCACCATTGTAGTTGACACTGTTGGTGTGAATGAGACCGACATCAGAAAGAAACACCTCTCGGTTCTGATACTTGTGTTTGGAGATGTTCTACACACAAACACGCAC